GATTTAATCATAATTAGGGGACTTTATTTTCTTGTACAATCCAAATGACATGACACTATTCCTTGCTCCTGCACCACAAACAAGAGCAAGAGAGAGAGAGAGAGAGAGAGAGAGAGAGGGTTCAATTTTATTTCAATAATACTCTTTCGGGTAGAGGTCTTTAGCAGTGCCAGCCGAATGATGTACTTGGTGGTATATATACTGTTATTACAATCATTATCATTAGATCATTTCGGGACTAACATATGGTTCAATTGTATTCAAATAATACTCTTTTGGGTAGAGGTCTTTAGGAGTGCCAACCGAATGTACTTGATGGTATTATACTGTTATTACAATCATTATCTTATATCCACTCTTATCTCAACTGGTAAATAAATATTCCTTCACTCCTATCAATCCTTCAAATCATTAAATATAGGGTTAGAACAATACAAATCGCTAAAACAAAACACAAGATCCAGAAATGAGATAGTCATGTTTTGATTTCTTGACCTTAAAACAAGACAAATGTTCAGTGGCTAAAATTGATAGTGCATCTTGTTATTCTAGCTAGTTCACCGTGCCCTATCACAGAAATCTAACAACATCTTGCATTTGGTATTTGTTTCTTTTAATTTATCATAAAACTTAATCCTTGCTAGAATGTTGAAAGGAGCTAAATCTCTAATTCTTTGTTACCGAAAATAGGCGAAAATGGATCAAAAGGCACATTAAAGAAGCTAAATCGCTATTATTTTGGACCTAGAAATTGACACAAATAGGTCGTAATGCATAGAATAATGTAATAGGAATATATATAAACTGATTTACATTCAATCGTTTCCATTTTTACTCATGATGTATTTCGCTGGACATAACTGATTTGAAATTAGAGTCAAAACGGAAACAATTGAATGTAAATCAGTTTATATATAATTAGATTATATTATTATATGCGTTCCGACCCATTTGTGTCAATTTCTAGGTCCCAAATATTAGCGATTTTGCTCTTTTAATCTTTGCTAGATTATTTAAAGGAGCTAAATCTCTAATTCTTTGGAACAGAAAATAGGCGAAAATGGATCAAAAGGAACATATTAATGTAATAATAAGTGTATGGAAACTGATTTACGTTCAATTCTTAAAACTTTTATCGTAATGTAATTTCTAATTAGTTTCGCCGTTGAAATAAACATACATTATGCAAGAGCTAAATCTGCCAATTGCAGGTCTTTCTTTAGGCCTGAAATGTTATCTAAATTATTAATTAGACATTAATTAACTTATCCAGACCATAATCAACTCTAGACGGCATCGCTAGCCTGCGATGTTTATTGGATGAGGTTCCGATATTCATTCATAATTTAATCATTAAATGGATAAGCGAGACTATATTTTATATCGTAAAGACATTAGTAATGATGATCGAGGCTAGGCTGAAAATTCAGTTGCTAAATTCTCGGTTCAGAGTGAACAATTTGACTAAAATTTTCAGTAAATTCCCTTTACATTATCTAGTTTTTAACTATTATAGTGAGAACTGCCAGCTCTTTATCTAACCTCCCATAATGTATCATAAGTAAGCAGACCAAATTAAATGGCAGTCGCTGACACCTGGTTATATGTTATTATTGAAGACATTTATTATTCACTTGACAAGCCCATAATTAACTCTCTAAATCATCGGATGGCCGAGATATTAAGTGGATTTGACAATGTCCGGCATATCTTCGTTAAACGTTAATATGTACGCAACTCACAGCAGAAAATCAATATTTCGTTATTATAATGGCAATTGCACTTGATAATCATGACTATTTTGGCTAGTTCTTGTAAAAACTTCATTTAGTCAAAAATAATTTGACTAAAATTTTCAATATATTCATTTTCCATTATCTATTTTCAAACTATTATAGCAAGAATGAACAGCTCTTTATCTAAATCTTACATACTGTATCTTTAAGCCTTTTAATAGCACATATATATATTTCAATAAAAATGTTCCTGTGATGGGGTAAAGGGTGGAGGATATGGGGGGGGGGGGTAATTTTGTACTCGTAGTCCAGTCAGAAGAAGTAGCCCATTTTTATGTATCTCTCGCATTGATGTTTATGAAATATTAGGAGGAGAAGGGGGGGGGGGCAGAAGATGGATTTAAAAGGAGCACTTGTATCTGGGTTGTTTTTGTTTATAAAGCGGTATCCTGGTTCCCCTACGTTCGTTTATTTGTTACATGTATATTTGTTGTATTATTGTAATTTTTGTAATTGTATGCTGCTCTTTGTGGGGGTTTTTATGCAATAAATTTACTTACTTATTACCAAACACAATTTTGTAAAGAAGTTCCGATAGAAATTGAACAAATACTTACCAAAATTCATCCAGTCGACATTCAACAAATTTTCCAAAAAGTCATTCATTTGCTCAGGAACTTTTATTGGGATACACACAAATATCCAAATAATATTTATTTCTTCATTAGCACGTTAAAATCATATTCTAATTACTACAAATGTTTTTCCACCACATGTATAATCTGTAACGAATAAGCTTCAAGAAAGAATCTCCAGTTTACTTTGAAACCGCTTTCATTTTCTGGATCCCATGTGTGGTGAAAGGGAGACTACTCCACCAAAGCACGTGCAAAGCGTGCAGAAACCAGCTTGACACATGGAAAGCCAACGACATGATATATATGGGACAAAGAACCTGTTAAATTAAAGAATAGCCTCTAATGTCTAATGTCATTTTAATCTGAGATAAATTATTTAAATATGATATTACAGGTGACGTTGCAGGTTATTTTCAGCTGGTTAAAAATTAGAAATCTAACTTATTAAAATAAATTCTGCAATTTTGCCCCAACTAGCTTAATGAAATAATGAAGACTGGTATGTACGCCATAATTTTGTTATTTGTTTTATGAAATCTTTTATAATTTTGGATTTGTCCCTTGTCGGTCATTTTTTCCAATACTTTGGCGAGAGAGAGAAAGAGAGAGAGAGAGAGCGATGGGATTTAACGCCCACTCGACACAATCTATGTCATTTCGGGACTAACATCTGGTTCGATCTTATTTCAATAATTCGCTTGCGCGTAGGGGTTTTAAGCAGTGGGAGTAAACCGGAGGACCCGAAGAAATGCCACGAGATTCATTGGGATTTTCCGGTGTGGTTCCCCCTTGTCAGTGGTGTATGACACAACAGGGGCGACCCGCGCGCCGAAGGTGCGACGCTGGTAAGGGGGTCTGGGGGAGAAAATTTTTGAAATTTGATAACGGGAAACGCGTTTTGCAAGGACTTCTGGGAGAAATCTAGGTATCATATTTTCCAAATTTATGCTGCTATTTTGACTATAAGACATACTACTGTACTACACAAGACACTCATGACAGGTCTGCTTAATATAATGCTAATGAAAATTAGAGCTCTCAGGGGGGCCCGCTTATACGGGTGGACTTATTGTTTAATGGGGGCCTGGGAGGACACAGTCCTCCTAAACTCCCTGCCAGCACGCCCCTGTGACACAAAGGGCCTGGCAAGGGACAACGTATAGTCGTTCGGATGGAACAAAAAGAGGTCCCGTGTACACATTGGCGTGTACATAAAAGATCCCTTAGCTGCCCGGGCAAAATTTACCTCATAGCACACTGTATGGCGTATGCCCGTCTTCATTAGCCCAGTCGGAGCAGAACAGTAGGACGTTAAACCCCATTTTATTTCAATTTATTTGTCCGTGATTAGTCATGTTCATCTAGCCAAGATGTACGGGGTTAAAACGAGATCAGGCCTTCTATTGAAGGACCGATAATTTCAAATGTCAAATAAATTAATTTCCACCCCCACCCTCCTCTGTCTCTTGGTTTAACTTCATACTTTTCTGCACCAATAGGCAAATGAATTGGCTATGAAGGAAATGTTCCCCGAACAGCGGCGTTCCACCTACTCTTTCGTCGAATTCAAACTGTCAAAGATATATCACGCCACATGGTCCTCTTTTTTGTTCCATACGACGGACAACACCACCTTGTCTTGCACCACACTGACAAGGGGAAACCAGCTTCTGAATGATAAGAATAAAGCTCGAACACACCACACCAAAAGTCCAATAACGAGTTCAGACGAAACATAGGCAAAAATACAATATGCTTTTATGAACAAATATTTTGGTCCAACCATTATCCAAAACGATCAATTAGAGTTTCTATAGATTTCACACCGTCATCTTTACGCGTCTTAATCGATAGTGCAACAGTGAGTCTGGCCCTGGCCCAACCTGGAGATCCGGTGTTCGATCCCGGCGTTAGTAGCGGGACAGGACGAAGGGCCGGATCTGTGAAACTGATTAGGCCTACGCTTCGGGGCCCCTATACAAGGGACCACATTGCTTTAAAATAGAATGGGGATGTTTAGGGGTGAATAGCTATTGTATTTTTCCCCAAGTACAAACTTTAAAATCATAACTTAGGAATTAGGTTCCCATTGGGTTGGAGTTCGGTTGGATTGGGTTAGGGTTAGGGTTGGATTGACCTATTGTGTTTGTCTGAACTAATCATAGCAATATGGGTGCCTATTGGGTTAGGGTTGGTTTGGGTTAGGATTAGATTGCCATTTTTGTGTTTATCGGAACTATTCATAGCAATATCGGAACAGAAAATTGTGAGGGAAATGAAAACTAAAAAAAAAAAAAAAAAATACCATTGATGTGTTTTGGATTAGTATCGGAAGTAAAACACAAACGAAAGTGGAGAGAAATATTGATGATTTTTGCTTCAGAATGCGCAACGTGAGGTGAACAACCACAGCATTAATGGGTGATTTGTATTCAAGTCAGGTTTAAAAGGAAGTCGTTACGACTTGATGTTACAGCAATTTCCAATGATTCATCGATCCAAATCGATTCAAATCGATGAATGAGTAGTAACGATGTTTTGTTTTTCTTGCAAAGCACACAATAAAAAAAAAATTGACAGCTCGATGAAAATATGACTTTGGTTGTGGCGTGAATATAATCCGCAAGAAGGTCAGTCATTTTGGAGGCATTGATCTTTATGGAATGTCGCGTTTCATATTAGTCTTGAAATTGTATTTTGTGTTTACAATGTGACAAAGACATGTCAATGCGCAATTCAGAACAAGCAAAACCAACGCTTCTTTAAAACCAACAAAAGGAATAAGATATTGTGAGCTATATTTCTAAAATTTGTTATTAATGCTTATCCAGAATCATAAACATTTTTATCGGTGAACTGTTTGTATGGCATAAAGTGATAGGAAAAAATACAAAATACAACTTTATGGATAACAATCACCACCAGAAACTGTAATAGTGCAACGTTTCAGAAATCAAATGTGACCTTAACAGTGGAATTTCCACATGATCTTCGTCGAATTCAAAATATTCAGGGTTCTTGTGCGTGCACGCCAACGTGTACACCGGACCTCGGTTTTTGGTCACAATCCGAAGGACTAGACACTGTCAAGAAGAAACCACACCGGAAAATATGTTTCAACAAATATTCTCTTGTCGTTATCGAGCACACGGTTAAGCAATAATAGTATGGATAACGACAAAAAAATACTAAGCATTGAAATAGTGCTCTATTAAAGGACAATATTGGTGTCAGTCATTATCACATATGTAACTGCGTAATAATGGTTTCAACAACAGGATATCTGACAATTCAATAAAGTAATTGAATATCATTAGATAAGAGAACACGAGAAAAATAGAAATAGTCTAATGATATTCAATTACTTTATTGAATTGTCAGATATCCTCTTACAGTCTCATATAACAACTTTTGGTCTTTGGAGGAATTATTAGTATAAGCAGAAATTCGCCCGGGTATCTGTTATCACTCGTCACTTCAGTCAGTTATATAGAGGGGTAACTCATGTTTTCCTTTTGCGTTCGTCACTTCCGATTGGTGAAACCTTTATTACGCATCTATCGTAGCAATGATCTCTGTGTTAGAATTATATCTGGAACGTGTTTAACCAGTTCTATCACATATGTGATAATGACTGACACCAATATTGTCCTTTAAAGTTGCGGGTGATTGTTATCTGCAAAGCTTTGTTTTCTATTTATGTTTTTTAGAAGAGACCTCACGGATATTTTAAAGGATTTTGATGTACTTGTATAAACACCTGCTAACGAATTCGTCCGTCAGATTTTCAGCCCTTTTCATTACTGGTGAAAATCGAATGTGCCGGTCGTTGAAATAAGACAAAACTACTATTAGTTTCGTTTCGTGAGGTACAGAATGACTGAATTTGATGTTAAATAGGTTTTTATATCATGAGTATCCGAGTGTTTCTGAGAAGACTGTTCAAATTTACCGTTAAGTTAATGAAATGTCGAAAAGTCAGCAGAGTGTCCAGAAGGTGTGGATGCTGCTCCACATAAACCCAAATTAAACTGCTGGGGTAAACATGAAGAACTTGAAATTACGGATCTTGGTGCTGCTTTGGATGTTTTTCGTGGTGACGCGCCAGCATGAGTCAACAGGTAGGCCAATTTTTATAAGCACTCATTTCATGTGAGAGTATATGGTCGCCACCCCTGTCCGTCCGTTCACAAGCAGTGTAGAGATACTACAGATCTGGAGTTTTGTATTGTTTTAATTTTGAACTTGCTGGTGGAGGTTCGTTGAGTCATAAGGATCTACCATATAGAAATCCAGAGTCGCTCAACGATTTTATTTCGCAGAGGTACTGGTCCTGTCACTGAAACCTATAAACTAATTGGAAATGAAATGAAATGGGACTTAAAGTCCCACTATTCTGCAGCAACTGGGCTAATGAAGACTAAACCCATGTAAACGTTCTGCATGTCACAGCTTTCCATACTTGTTTGATTCAAACTTTCTTGGATTATTTAGCTTTTCCTCTAAGGTGGTACCCTGTGGATATATGAAGTCGCAACTCGATATGTCACCGAAAACTTACAAACAGTTTTTGAGAACTGTTTTCAAACTGTGTGTGAAATGATCTCTTCTAAAGCTGCCAATGCTCTACTGGTAAGAGATTTACCGCATTGCTCCCGTCGGATTTTGTTTACAAACTTGCTGGAATTACTGAACCAGTCATATTGAGAACCCCTTCGAATTCAAATTGTCATTCATTTCCAGAACGAGATATGGCATATGTCACCAAAATTTGGAAATGTTCTACAGGTTAGATTGTTTACGATTTTATACAAGCATCTGACACCACTGCTCCCGTCAAAAGACAACACCTAGTAACTCACGTTTATCTTATTTTGAGAAAACAAAGGAAAACGTAATGGATGAATATTAAACCCCAGCTTATGCATTGATTTGACTATTGAGTTACTAGGTTTTCTGTGGCATACTAGGCAAATGAAGGAAGTTGCTAGGTTGTGTCATGGGTGTAGCTGCTTACAAAATCAAACGATTGGAATATCTTGTACAATAACAGGAAGCACATACCCTAGTAACTACAAAATTGGTCCTAACTCAATTTTGATAAAAAAAAAAGTGAGTTACTAGGTTTTGAATTTTGACTGGAGATTGTCATTTGAATATAGCATGATAGCATGTACATTTTTGTTGTACTTCTGCATTTCGTGCTTCGTCAACTTTTGGTGCAATATATCCCGGTGGAAGCTGACGTGCTATAAAAATCCATTTCATTCTTTCATTCCTTAGCCAACTTGCACCTTGGAAGCTATAGCCTCATGACCTTTGTCAATCAAACCCGAGCACCCTGAATGGGCTACAATGATAAGGGATCACTTACCTAATTTTTGTCAACAGAAATGAAGCTGGCCATGGACCATGTGCTATTTTATCGGACGAAATAAAATATTGTTAACGTCCTACTGTTCTGCTCCGACTGGGCTGTTTAAGACGGGCATACGCCATACAGTGTGCTATGACGCAAATTTGCCCGGACAACGGCGCTACGCCCTACTCCTATATCGAATTCCAACAGCCAAGGGATCTTTTACGTGCACGCCAATGTGTACACCGGGCCTCGTTTTTTCGTATTATCCGAACGACTAGACAGCTGTTCTTGTCAGACCCCCCCCCCTCCACGTCACGCATCACGGACATGCTGAAAACCACAACGGAAAATCCCAATGAACTTTTCCGGACGACAGCAGTGCTTCATCGAATTCCAACTGACAATGGTTCTTTTATACACACTCCAATCAGCACACGTGTGGACCTTGGTTTGTTGTCCCATCCGACAGACTGGCAATCTTTGCCTTACGAAGATTTCCGACCTGCTCTAATGACAAAGGGAAACTAGGCTGGAAAATACCTACCGAGAAACGTTCTCGGTCAACACCGGGATCGACCCTTAGACTCCCTGTTTAGTGACCCAGGATGATACTAAGTATCTAGAGCTGAAAAACAACCTCACTGGGCCTGAATACTCCATTAGACGCTATACATCCCAAAAGGCCAAGACTGCGATTTTCATCAAGGAAATGGAGACGATGAATTTTCTTGTTCACCCTCCAGTTCAAACTCTAGCGATGGACTCCAGCCGCGACATCACCCACGATGGAAGCGGGTGTTAAGCTCCACAAACGAACAAACGAAACATCCTCTATCGTCTTTCCTTCAGATTTCACCTGTGAAGGATATTTAACGATGATTGATAGTGGATACCAATATGGCGTGAAGGATAGAGTTGATTTCACCTTCAATATAGCATTTACATCCATGAATACAACCAACCTCACCATCAATATACACGGCGATTCTCTACAGGTAACAACTTCTTCGTCTTTAGCATCCAATCCCGGTCCACGTACATATTACGCTCGTTGGAGTTTTCAAACAAAATGACAGACTCAATGACAGACCTTATGATCAAACGCGTACGCGTTAACCATTCGACCACCCAACCCCGCAACAAACAAGATGAATCTACCCTGAAAAATACCAAGGAACTTTTTCGGCTAACACCGATATCGAACCCGGTACCCTCTGGTCTGTGACTCAGCTGCATATTCACTACCAAAACCTTTTTATTCCACTTACTAATGGTCAAGTTCCTTTTGTTTCATGACTTCAAGTTTCAAAAAACTGTTATTTATTTTATTTTTTTCAGTTTGAGAGTGAAATATCTCAAGTATCTATGGCATGGAATATTGTACCCAGTGACGGCGATAACACGACTCTTTCACCCTATCTTCACGGTTCTACCACTACGGTAAATTTGTTAAACCCGGCATCTTGACTACAGTACAATTCGCTCCTAATTCGTATTTCCAGATGTTGTTAGACAATGGGTGGGGTGGGTGGGTGGGTCAGAGTGTGGTCGACAATAGCACCCACCATAATTGTATACAGTTGCTGTATCAGCACATGTTGCTGTATTAACACTTGTTGTATCGATACGTGTTGTGGTATCAACACTTGTTGTGGTATCAACACTTGTTGTGGTATCAACACTGTGGTGTCAACACTTCTTGTCTGGACGTCACTCAACTAGATCGGTCGAAATATATTTCTACTGTGTCTTTCTTGTATTCATTGTTAAGTTTTTCTCTGTTTTATTGTGGGCTTGGTTTTCACTGTGAGCGAAGTATATATTATTGCAGGGCCGACGGATCCATGCATATGTACAGGACCGGGTTTACCTACTTGTAGGCCCTAGACCAAATTCATCAGTGGACCCCAGTTGATTGACTTTTAAACCTTTCTCTTGTACCTGTTGCAGGAAGAACTGGCCTGGACGTCATCAGTTTATCAAATAAAGATCAACGACTTTCCGGAGAGCTCCTGGAATTTCACCGGCAACTTCACAGCTGTAGTTTCAGGTTGGTACCATTTTAAATTTCTAGGGTGCGGGGGCGTTTTGGGGCCAAAGTTCCCGGCGTACACGGAATGTGTCCTTTTGGGATTGCGAACACTAGAAACTGGACAGTTCGGGAAAGATTCTAGTTCGCTGGCACAGCAAGATCACTATATATAAGAAATTAATTGACTAAATTACGTACACATTTCTCACTAGATTACAAAGCAGGAGGTCCCTGGTAAAATCAAGAAACTTCAAAGATTTCCGAACGTGGTTTGGCCTTGTCAGTGGTGAAGGGCGGGTTTTTGACACGAAAATAGGTCACGTGTAAATGTTAGCGTGCATGTAAAAGAATCCCTGGTAGTTGGAATCTGTGCAGAATTGCCCTCAAAGCATACTACATGGTGTATGCCAATCTTCATTGGCCGTGTTAGTGCAGAAAAGTGGGCCGTTTTATTAGCCGTGTTGGTGCAGACAAGTGGGACGTTAAACCCCACTTCATTGGTTTGTCAATGGAAAAGAGTATACTGTACACAGTGTTATTTATCAAAATAATCAGCTTAATTTGTTTTCAGACGCAGCTGGACCAGGATCACTGGTTCGTGGCATCATCGACCTGAAATTCAGCATTGACAATGATTCGTACTCCGACCAGTTGGTATCCGACTACGTCTACACCCTGCCATTAAGGATCTGGCCAGTTCCTCATAACGGCTCCTTAACCCTTCAAGACCCCCTGCTGAATGAAGTCTATATGACTTTCACCGAGGGTACGGTTACACCGAAAGTCACTGTAATGACACCGTTCGATAATTCATCCAAAGAAGTCACCATTACCATGCAGAGGATTTCAGCTAACGCAACACACGGAATCAGCGATAGCGATATAGATTCGCTGACATCGTCCTATCCGTATTTCCGTTCCACTCCGGAGACCTACCAGAATGACATTGGGATAATACAGCTTCCGACTGTATCTCGAACGGACCAGGATGTGTATAACGAGTCTGAGATAGCCGTTAAGGTGAGAGGTCGCTTGGAGGATTTTACGGATATTAGTAGCGTAAGTAAGCTGGATGTCGGACTCGGGGTGATGTTTGGTAAGACGATGATCTGGGTGTCTAAAACTGTAGCAGATATCGGAGTCGGTGTCCAGCCTGGTGATAGAAGACCGGTCCTGTCATTAGACATGTACCAAGTGTGTGTTATACCTAACCAGGAAAGGTAAGAGCTCTGAAACAGGGTCTTATCGTTCTATCTCTCCATTGGCCGTACGCCATCATCATAATGAGTTAGAAACATGACCTTGGATGAGTCAAACATTTCGTATACATTTTGAAGATACCGAACATTACCTTTTAACCTGTCCTCTACATTCCGATGCACGTAAACATTCAATTTTTACGTTACCCCAAAACGTGATTTCAATACAGACATTATTAAAAGGCACTGACGATATTATTATTTCAAGTATTATCTTTGAACAAGTCCATAGATTTCTAGACATCTCCGGAAGGTTTAAATAAAAAAGTTATCCAGTAGCCATATAAATATGGCAAATCTGAAATTGTAAATATGTACATAGCCCCCCCCCCCCCTCCTCCTTTTTTTTGTTCATTTTATACTTATCCTATTTAGATTTATTTTATCATAACATGGCTATATAGTCTTTTTGTATATATTTTCTATCATATAGGAAAGAGGTAATATAGGCCTGGCCTGTTCCTCAATCCTTTTCTGTGAATAAAATATTGTTTTGTACACATGCACGCATGAAATCAATCTGGTTAAAGTACAGATCTATATTTCGTTTCGCGTCAGAGGTCATACGAGCGGCTTTTGAACCTATGGCGTTAGACATTTGATTAACCAATCAGCGTTGATGTTTCTAGTGGGTTACCCACAGTTCTGTGTACCTCACTTCAAAAACTCGCCGTAACAGACCGTTTCATTGGCTAATCAGCCAGGATGCGGGTTATGTAACAACTGTTCCAGATCCTAGTGGTGTAAAGACAAGTAAAACAAAATTTTGAACTTTAAAAAAGCCAATCGAAATAATATCTGTGTTTTAATCAGATTGACTTGAAATTGTTTCAACATAATATTGAGACGGTCCTTTCCCATGCGCAATAAAACAGTATTGGCAAATAAAAATGGATCAGTAGGCCCTTTGTACAGTGTAAACCAAAATATTTGAAGTGATGCGACGGTATATGAGGCCTAAAATGTGTGCGCAGGTTGATTTCTTTTGTAATACATGTATACACGCGCACAACTATGGATGTGAATAGAGCACGGTTAAAGGTATGACCAACTGAAGTTTGTTGTTCTATTTATCAGGTTCGATGTAACCGTGTCTATAGTGGGTAGACATACCTCCGCCTCAACAGCTACAGCCTATAATGTAACTCTCTTCCTGTATGCCATGGACAGTATGACACACGTCTCTTATGCCTTGAGTTTGGCCAAAGGTTATAGAAGCAAGTGGAATACTTCAGGAAATGTTCGAACATATGAGGTAAACTATTTATGCAGTCAACAATGATTGATATCACGGAAAACTATTGCCTGGTTCGCCTACATTGTCCCTGGGTCATGAGCTCAATGCATGAAAAGACGCAGAAATTCGTATTAAAGACTTATTATTGTACTTCTTCGTGGCCCTCTTTAAGGACGCTAACATTATTTTGTACTTCGTCTTGGCCCCTTTTTCAGACGATAACCTTATATTGTATTTGGTCATGGCTCTCTATAAAGATGCTAACTTTATTTTGTACTTCGTGCCCACCTCTTTATGGATGTAACCTTATATTGTGCTTGGTCGTGGAACTCTTTACGGACACTAATATTATATCGTACTTGGTTGTGGTACTCTTTACGGATGTAATGAAATGGGGTTTAACATCCTACTGTTCTGCTCCTATGCTGGGCTAATGAAGACGGGCATACGCCATACAGTGTGCTATGAGGGAAATTTTGCCCGGGCAGCGGCACTATCGCCTACTCTTATATCGAATTCCAACTGCCAAGGGATCTTTTACTTGCATTCCAATGTATACACGGGACCTCGGTTTTTCGTCTCATCCGAAGGACTAGACAGCTGTCCTTGCCAGGCCCTCCATCCTGCATCACTTACAAGGGGGAACCACGCCGGAAAATCTGGATGAACTTTCTCGGCCAATGCAGGGATCGAACACCCGACTTCCAGGCTAACGAGCCAGCGTCTTACCCACTTAGCCACGTGATCCCCTTTTACGGATGTAACCTTATAGTGTATTTAGTCATAGTCCTTTTTTACAGACGCTAATCTAAAATTGTGGCCCTCTTTATGGATGTTAACCTTATCGTGTACTTGGTCGTGATAGACTTAACTGACGTTTATTTTATATTGTATTTAGTCATAGCCCTCTTTACTGACGCTAATCTAAAATTGTACTTTGTCGTGGCCCTCTTTATGGATGTTAACGTTGTATTGTACATGGTCTTAACCCTCTTCTACGCATGCTAGCGTCGTCGTGATAAGCGAACTAAGATACTACCGTACGAATAACTGAATGCGTCACCTATCCCCTTCCCTTTATTACACTGAAATCCGTCCCACCAACCACTGAAATCCGTCCCACCAACCACTGAAATCCGCCCCACCAACCACTTAAATGAAAATTAACATATGTTAGCCTGTATTGACGAGACATTGATCCTCAGTCCATTCAAAAAGCAAATCTCTTTTTTTGCGGGGGGGTGGGGGGCAATGGTTAACGCGTTCGCGCTGGATAAAAAGGTCTTTCATTCAGTCAAGTGGCGTGGTTTCGATACCCCGCATGTACGTGACACGCGAAATATTGAAAAAGAATTGAACCATATGATAGTCATGAAATGACCTACTTTGTATCAAGTGGACGTTAAACCCCATTTCACTCTATATATATATTTGTTAAATCTTATTATTTGTTGTTTTATTATTAGGTGGAACGAATAACGTTTAGTACACCGATGCATACATCTGTTGTGGAACAGATAGACATGTCAACAGTTGCTATGCAACAAGCTGAAGATTTTGTTGTGATGGCTGAAATAGGGTACACAGATCGCTGGGTCAATGATGTAGAATTCTGGTCGGGGCTTCAATATGTTAAACTAGATCTACCTAGAAGATGTGGTGAGTCTCTTTCAAACTGTGTGCCAGTACGAAATAAATGAAATGGGGTTTTGACACCCTACTGTTCTGCACCGACTGGGCTAGTACGAAATAAAACGAATGTGAGGTATGTTACACAAAGAGCGTACCGGACAAATGTGCTGTCAATTACACAATGATACGGGCGCAGAGCGGAGAGTCTTGCAAAGAACATCGTCTTGTCGTCAGGTGAGACTAAACCCCCAAGTCCGGTGTACATGTTGGAATTCGGTGAAAAGTAGGTGGACACACCTGGCCGCTGTCAGGGCAAAATTCCCCTTATACCACTCTGCATGGCGCATGTCAGTCTGATTAAAATACAGATCTATATTTCGTTTTGTTTTTTATATACTTTCTTTTTTTTTTATAAACAATATTTTTATTCAGGATGTCTGAATGGGATTGGGGAACAGGCTTAGCGTATGTAAAACCCCTCTCCCTATACTTTTTATACTTTCGATGGCCTCTACTACATGGAGATCTGACCTGTTGTAGTGGAAGGTCGTGTCAGGGGTCATACGAGCGGCTTTTGAACCTATGGCGTCAGACAATTGATTAAGCAATCAGCGTTGATTTTTCTAGTGGAATACCCGCAGTTCCGTGTACAGCACACCAAGAACTCACCGTAACAGACCGTTTCATTGGCTAATCCCTTACATCAACCAAAACGCGGGTTATATAACAACTCTTTCAGATTCTAGTGTAGTAAAGACAAGTAAAACGAAATTTTGAACTATAGAAAACAAAACGGAATAGGATCTGTGTACTTCTTCATTAGACTGGATGGAGCAGAAATGTTGGACGTAAAACCCCTTTCAGTTCATATAGGGAATGCGTATGACTTTTATGATCGATAATACCATTTTCTGTTTAGAAATCAATTTGTTTTTTTTGTCTGTTGAGAAGTCGATTTGCCATAATTTATCTTGATTTCAACTTTTCGCTCATTTTGTATAATATTTAATAACTGTTCACAATAGTGTGGTGGCGGGATTCGTTCATTTCTATGTTCAAATTCCAGCGTGGTGCGAGAAAAACCCTCGAGATTCTTCGAGCCCGATTCTGACGATTATTTGTTATAAAAGCGCCCCGAGACTGACAAGAAAAGTGTTTATGGTCGTTCTGATCGGACGAAAGTCACACTGGCATGTACGTAATAGTTAGAATTTGACAAAATGTGGGCGGCAACGCCACTGCCCGGGCTAAATTCGCCCCCTCGCATGCATCGCGCATGAAACCATACAAATGAAAATTACCATTTTAAAATGAAAAAAGTGTTCTGTTACCGAGATGTTAAATCTTATTCCTTTTCATTATTATATTTCAGCTCAGAAACTGAGCTGGACTCACTCGACCAATTGTTCCTGCATCCACAACTCTACCCTGACCAGCTGTGGTTGTTGTGATGCTGGAGCGTGTCAATGTGGAGAGAGGAACCCAGGTATCTGTTTACCATGTGATATTCTGACGTTGTGTGAACCTACCATTGCTGGTAAGTACGTTCAAGTTTCCTCATGTCAGTGGCGCAGGACGGGAGGGCCTGGTATGGACAGCTGTCTAGTCATTCGGAATGGACGAAAAACCGAGGTCCCGTGTACTCATTGGAGTGCAGGTAAAAGATCCCTTGGCAGCTATAATTCGATATAAAAGTTGGACGTAGTGCCGCTGTCCTGGCAAAATTTTCCTTTTAGCACACTGTTATGCCTCCCTCTTACTCCCTTTCAGTATTTAGAAATCTGTACAATTTTCAACATTCTGTCGACGATATAAATACGCCAGCGCCAAGTGTTATGTAAAGTCGTTTCATGATAAAGCATGGAAGCTCATCCCTGGATGATATCATATCGGCGATATCACTTTGGTGGACGCGGAGTTAAATAAACTATTTGCTGATTACACTATTTTGCTTGAATACACTATTTTGCCTATACGTTTTAACGTTTTTTAGGATTTCGAATTCTGTCTTATGGTTTGGATTGTTCGTACTTGGTTTTATTTTATTTTATTTCACACACACATACACACCCTAGTTGTTTATTGCTATAAAAAAAATCAAAATAGTGTTATCTTTATTAGTTTTTAAACGTCAGGGTCGAAACCAAGAAGACAAACTTCTATATGTTATTGTTGTTTTGTTTTTCCAGGGTTTGTCGACTATTACAGTTATTTAGATGATTCTGAAGAATCGACAATAGTGTGCGATGCTTTCCACAAATACAGGTACAGTAAGGTCATCAGATATACCATTTATAAACTTTATATAGAAAGAAATTTCGACAAATCTTCTCTTATCGTTTTCAAGCAAAAATGAAATGAAATGAAATGGGGTTTCACGTCCTACTGTTCTGCTCCGGTTGAACTAATGAAGACGGCAAGCATAAATGAACTAAAAGGTACAATGAATGTTTGAAGTGTCTTTATATAGAGGGAGCCACACTGGTTCAGTGGGTAGGACGCTGGCTCGCTAGCCTGGAGGTCGGGTGTTCGATCCCTGCATTGGCCGAGAAAGTTCATCGCGATTTTCCGGCGTGGTTTCCCCTTGTCAGTGATGCAGGACGGAGGGCCTGACAAGGACAGCTGTCTAGTCGTTCAGATGGGACGAAAAACCGAGGTCCCGTGTACACATTGGCGTGCACGTAAAAGATCCCTTGGCAGTTGGAATTCGATATAAAAGTAGGTCGTAGCGCCGCTGCCCGGGCAAAATTTCCCTCATAGCACACTGTATGGCGTATGCCCGTCTTCATTAGCCCAGGTTAGGAGCAGAACAGTAGGACGTTAAACCCCATTTCATTTCATTTATCATAAAGTCTGTCATTGAGTCGACTGGCGTGGTTTCGAATCCCCGGTTGTACGGGGCAAGGAGTAGGGTCGCCTGTCCAACCTCGTGGGTTGTCTCCGGGGCCTCCAGTTTCCTCCCACTGCTAAAGACCCCTACGCGCAAGCGAATTATGTAAATAAAATTAAACCATGTTAGTCCCGAAATGACCTAGTTTGTGTCGAGTGGACGTTAAACACCATTTCTCTCTCTCTCTCAGACTCAATTTCATTTCATTTCTTTATACAGAACGACCATTCGACAAACATGATAAACTAAAAGGTACAATAAATGTTTGAATTGTCATTATTGTGCTCGATCGCTAAATGCCACCAGACCACGCATTATATCTGTACAAGCTTGTGATCGAATAAAATTATTTTAAACTTAAATTAGCTTAAACTCTTTGCTTAAGGTGAAATAGAGTTAATCTGATTAATTTAGATCATTGATACAATACTGAGATCTCCCACACGGAATCGACAGTTTGATGTTTACCCAGATCAAATTTTAATATTAAAAACATATGATATACAGAAAGAACAACAATACATATACTTCACCGCGTGCATAACATCTAGTAATTGGTTTTGACCCAGATTTCGTGTCAAAAATACTGACCCAGTTGTATTATCAGCCAGGAAATAAAGATATATTCTTCCTTTTCCATCTTTGACACTTATGTCACCAGGACTCAAATTCCTTCCTTCAATTTGTAATATTTTATGCGTTTACCTATATAACGCAAGCCAATAAAAAGGCGCTATGTACATGTAGTAACTAACAACAATCGACCCTCCTTCATATTTCTAATTTTGATTGAGTGCAAGCATCTCAAAGATGTTAGATGGCATTTTTACCATTGCCAGTCATTACACCAATTATTTGACCAACCTTGTCTATAATGTAAGTGTGTGTGTGTGTGTGTGGGGGGGGGGGATGGCCGAATGGTTAGCACATGCGCGCTGCGCTGTATCATACGGTCTGTCATTGAGTCAACTGGCGGGTTTCGATTCCCCGGTTTCACGTGACAAGGAGTAGGGTAACCTGTCCAACCTCGTGGATTTTCTCCGGGTCCTCCGGTTTCCTCCCACTGCTAAACACCCTACGCGCAAGCGAATTATTGAAATAAAATTGAATCATGTGTTAGTCCCGAAATGACCTAGTTTGTGTCGAGTGGACGTTAATCCCCATTTCTCTCTCTATATAATGTAAGACACTAGATTTTTGAATCAGGGACTGGTCGCTAACCGCTACTCATCTTGTTCTTGAGGTGATGCTCTTCGGCTCCGTCATGGAAATGGGCACGTTTCTTCTTTGAACCCTTTATCCTCGATTTGGTGAATTAGATGTTTGAATTTCATCCAACAACATGGTCTGTTATTGGTCCATAGTACGATCTACTTGTTTAGATCAAGGAGACAGGCTTTTGTTATAAATTTAAATTATATACACCACATCCATCATTTCATTTATATATTTTAGATATTTATATGCATAGTTATATAACTATTTTGTAATCATAAAACCCTGTGATATATGTTTTTATATGCATAGTTATATAACTATTTTGTAATCATAAAACCCTGTGATATATGTTTTTATATGCATAGTTATAACTATTTTGTCATTATAAAACCTGTGATATTTGTTTTTATATATGCATAGTTATAACTATTTTGTAATTATAAACCCTGTGATATATGTTTTTATATGTTTTCATGTGCATATAAATTTATTGATTGTGATATAATTTAGCCTGTCTCATTTTTATACGCCCACATTTTCACGTGGACGTATATTGTCGTCGCCCCTGCCCGTCCGTCCGTCCGTCCACAAACAATTGTGGACAGTCTACAGGTCACAATTTTTATCCGATTTCAACGAAACTTCAAATATAGGTTTATCACCCTAAGATCTGGATTCCTTTCGATATTGGCATGTATCGGACTGTAACTATATGGATTATGGCCCTTGATTGTACGAATAATCACGTTTTTAGCTTGTGAACACTGTAGAGGTCACAATTTTTATCCGATTTGGTTTAAACTTGAAATGTATGCTTATAACCCAAAGATCTCGGTTCCTTTCGATATTCGCGCATATCGGACCGTAACTTAATGAATTATGGCCCCTGATTGTAAGAAAAAATCGCGTTTTTAGAGGTCACAATTTTTATTCTATTTTGTTGAAACTTGAAATGTAAGTTTATAACCCAAAGATCTCAGTTCCTTTCGATATTCGCGCATATCGGGACGTAACTTCCGGAATTATGGCCCCTGATTGTACGAAAAATCACGTTTTTAGCTTGTGGACCCTATAGAGGTCATAATGTTTATCCCATTTAAAAAAACATATTATTATATCACCGTTACACCCTAAGGCCGGCTGAGGTCGAATTTCGTGGAAATCGGCTCAAAACTGACAGACAAAATGGCCGCCCCTCGTTCTCAAACAGCGTAAAAATATGGTATATCAAGGTTGTGGACCCTATAGAGGTCACAATTTTTTATCCGATTTTGTTGAAACTTAAAATGTAAGTTTATAACCCAAAGATCTCGGTTCCTTTCGATATTTGCGCATATCGAATTGTAATTTCCTGAATTATGGCCCTTGATTGTAGGAAAAATCACTTTCTTTTTAGCTTGTTCTCTATCCATCTCTCGAAAATGTGGGCGTATCCTGCCTGGCAGCCGCTGGTTCACCATGGACACAATATAACCCTGTTGGAGCTGACGTGCCATAAAACTTCATTTCATTAATGCATTCATTCTTATGTTTCTATTACAGACCAGGAAGAAAGGAGACATCCTGTTATCGACAGTTTAATAATGGACAACCCGATCAAGGTAGGTCCGCCTCAATCAGATTAAAACACAGACACTATTTCATTTCGTTTTAATAGTTCAAAATTTCGTTTTACTTGTCTTCACCACACTAGAATTTGTAAGAACTTTTAAATAACCTGCGTTCTGGTTGATATGAGGGATTAGTCAATGATGCACGGAACTGTGGGTAAACCACTAGAATGGTCAACGCCGATTAATTAATCACTGTCTGACGTCACATGGACAAAAGCAACTCGTATGAACTCTGACGCGACCTTCCACTACAACCGGTCAGATCTTCAAGAAGTGTAGGCCATCGAAAGTATAAAAAACGAAACGAAATATAGATTTGTGTTTTAATGCCGATAGGCTTTAAAGGACATAATTGGTGTCAGTCATTATTACATATGTGATAAAACTGGTTAAATACATTCCAAATATAATTTTAACACAGAGATCATTGCTACGGGAGACTTGTAACAAGCACGTGAAGAAACGGGAAGTGACGTCAAACATGACAAACACGAGTTGTCCTTCTATATAACTGACTGAAGTAACGAGCGATAACAGACAAACGATCGAATTTCATTTCACTGATAATTCCGTTAAAGTTGAAAAGTTATTATATGGGACGGTGAGAAGATATCTCACAATTCAAAAATAAAATTGGCTGTCACTAGATAAGGGACACGAGAAAAATAGAAAAATCCCGTGCATTCCCCCGTTTTTATTCATTCTGTTCTTAATAAAAACATGGTAATGCACGAACTTTTTCTAATTTGTTCGTTATCTTTTATCTACTGACAGCCAATTCTTCTTTTGAATTGTCAGATATCCTCTCATCGTCTCATATAACAACTTTTCATCTTCAACTGAATTATCAGTGAAATGAAATTCGATCGTTTGTTACAAGTTGGTCGGGACCCAATACACTCTGTTTTACACTAGACAGACAAGATTATCGTCTGAGCGGTCTGAAGGGATGTTCGGAAGCGAAAGCTTGTGCCACCGGGGACAGTTTTTGATAAAGACGACAGTATCCTCGCCAATTCGTCGTTTTATTATCTATAAAACTATACCTTTGTATTCAAAATGTCTGCTTCAGCGATACCAGAATCCGTATCAACCCTTTTAATGTCTATTTCAGCGTTAACGGGATCGGTAGCAGCTGTATTAATATCTATTTCAGCGTCACCAGTATCAGATTCAATGGTACTAATTTCTATTTCAGCATCACCAGCATCGGTAGCAGTTGTTTTAATGTCTATTTCAGTGGCACCAGTATCGGTATCAATTGTATTAAGGTCTATGTCAGCGTCACCAGTATCAGTTGTATTAATGTCTATTTCAGCGTTGCTAGCATCGTTATCAATTGTATTAATGCCTATTTCAGCGTCACCAGTATCAGTATCAATTGTATTAAGGTCTATTTCAGTGTCACCAGTATCAGTTGTATTAAGGTCTATTTCAGCGTTGCTAGCATCGTTATCAATTGTATTAATGCCTATTTCAGCGTCACCAGTATCTGTATCAATTGTATTAATGTCTTATTTCAGTGGCACCAGTATCGGTATCAATTGCATTAATGTCTATTTCAGCGTCACCAGTATCAGTATCAATTGTATTAATGTCTATTTCAGCGTCACCAAAATCGGTATCAGTTGTATTAATGTATATTTCAGCGGCACCAGCACCAGTATCAATTGTATTAATGTCTATTACAGTCAACGTTACCAGTATCAATTGTATTAATGTCTATTTCAGCGTTGCCAGCATCGGTAGCAGTTGTATTAGGCGTGGACATGATAACCAGAATCTTGTATGGTATCTCTAACCATGGTCTGGCCTACGTTCGATCGGCTGATGGTGGGTTGACTTGGATATCAATATCGCCTACACTATATTCCAACATGGCGACTACAGGCCATTTTAAATTGTCTTCTCTTGTCAACATTAACTAACCATTTGATGTAAAACTACACACGTAGTCAGAATGAGGACGCTATAGGGAGCTCGAGCAATGTTAAAGATCCAATATTTCAGACTAAAAGACAAATATAGATTCTTTGATTGGCATTTAGTAATTGAACATATTAACTCAAGGTACAATTTTATGGATATGTGAATAGTAGGCAAATATACTATTCACACACCTGTATCATTTGCTTGATAAATACGAGAGTATCCTCGTGGAAACGTCGCTTAGTATTTTAAACTCAGCAATTGTGTATCCATAAAATTCTATCTTGTGTTGACAAATATAGATATTTAGACCGTACACTATACTGCTTCAAAATTGTTAAATTTATGGCCATATCTAGTCGTCAATATTGAGTTCTTTTGATTTCACATCGATATATTTATTTCTCTAAAACAAAAATACACGGTAAATGATAATATGGACTTTTAGACTTTAGATCTATATAAAGTATTGTTATATACCAAATGTAGATTGTTCCAAAATTGTTAAGTTTATACCTAATGTAACCTATAGCCATATAAAGTTTAGAATGCATTCTATTCATTTCACATCAACATTTTGATTTCTCAAGTTACCCAAATCATTTTAATTTCTCAAATTATCCTTTTGATTTCTCAAATAATCCAAACACATTTTGAGTTCTTAAATTACCCAAATCATTTTGATTTCACAAATTACCCAAATCATTCTTATGTACGAAATTCCCCAAATCATTTCAATTTCTCGAATAGATATACGCCAAAAATAGAATTTCAGACCTTGCACTAACACAGTGGTCTTACCAAATGTAGATTGTTCCAAAATTGTTATAACTGATAAACCCTAACGTAACCCGTGGCCATTTAAAGTCCATATTACATTTTATTGATTAATTTACCTTTTGAAAATAAATACGGTAGGTGGACTTAATTGAATAGATTTTATTTTACACCCCAGTGACTGTCTGGTGATAAATATAACAAGGGAGCATCCTAATTTGTTAGGTTTAACGAAATGAATGTAACTAAGCCTTGGAATAAAATAGTTGATACACAATGTTGTGTGTTACTTCTAAAATGTGTTTATAAGTTGCTTTAATTAACTTGATGATATATTCCCTAAATGATATCTGGTTTCTATCTACAAACATCAAGGCCAAGGTGGTATCTAACCTACGTTTTATGTTTTAATCGTCTATACTTCTATTTAAATTAGTCGATGGCATTTAAAGCGGGACTTTTATTTGGGGAAACAAGAAATAAGGTGTTAGCCAGGGCCCCCTACTTTGGCCCGCGTGGGTTTTCTCCTCCTGTTTCCTCCGACTGCTAAAGACCGCTACGCGCAAGCGAATTATTGAAATAAAATTAAACCATAAGTTAGCCCCAAATGATCTAGTTTGTGTCGAGTGGACGTTAAACTCTCTCTCTCTCTCTCTCTCTCTCTCTCTCTCTCACACACACACACACACCACTGTTTTTAGTTCTAGACCCTGTACTTGAGTCGAGAGAGAGAGAGAGAGAGAGAGAGAGAGAGAGGGGTGTTAACGTCAACTCGACACAAGCTAGGTCATTTCGGGACTAACATATGGTTCCAATTGTATTTCATGAATACGCTTGCGGGTAGGGGTCTTTTGCGGTGGGAGGAAACCGGGGGACCTGGAGATATTACGGGAGATTGTACAGGCAAGCTTAATTCTTGTCACCACGTGCAAGCGGAGAATTGAAACCACGTCACTTAAATCAATGACAGGGGTCATAATTAGGCCATTATTTATACTATCAGGACTCAGACTAGCAATTATTTGCCCATTGACTTCAATGTTAAATGGTTGCAACGTCACAGACTGTAGCTTTTTGCTCAACATTCCGTTGATTCCAATCTTTATAGGCACAATGGAGACAACATTTAGATTTTTTGCTACGCGGATTTGAAGTTGACTGGGGTGAAAATCTCACTTCCGACACAATGATTGCTCTGCCGACGGACACTTTACACCCCCTATCCCTCCGCTGTAATATTATCAGTATTACCCAAAACTGCTATGAAATTGCAAATTTGATCCCTTTTGTCCAATTCTAGACCAAAAAGTCAACCCAAAAATGCAGGAAGAGGGGGGGGGGGGAAATTAAGGGAAAAATTGTCTATCTATAACTCGCACTAAGAATAAGAAAAAAATACATTTTTAGCTTAAAAAATATAGAGTTGATCAAACGAAATCGAAATGTGCGTCAAAGCCTTAGCCCACGTTGTGGGTCAATAACTTCTCTTCCAGACCCCGAGTAAGTTCTTATTGTCCCTATGAAGAGGTCAGTATTTTTGTTCTTGAATAGCCATAAAGCTGATGGGCATATGTAGGGATCCAAATGCAGAATTTTATCAGTCCTGAAACGTGGGCTACCAAAATGAACTGGCAATTTTTTTTTTCAATACCTATCTGATATATCGAATTACAGTAGGCTACTTTAGTTATGAAGCAGGCAAGTGTAAACAAATGAAATGAAATGGGGTTTAACGTCCTACTGTTCTGCTCCTAAACGTCCTACTGTTCTACGGCCATACAGAGTGATACTCTTATATCGAATTCCAACTGCCAAGGGATCTTTAACGTGCATTCCAATGTGTACAGGGAACCTCGGTTTTTCATCCCATCCGAACGACTAGACAGCTGACCTTATCAGGCCCTCCGCCCTGCATCACTGACAAGGGGGAACCACGCCGGAAAATCTGGATGAACTTTCTCAGCCAATGCAGGAAGCAAGCATCTTACCCACTTAGCCACGTGATACACGGAAAAAACAACTATACTACAGTAGGGTGAATTTGGACTATTTAATACGTCGTGCTAATCCGCACAGTATTACTTAATTAAGTAAATTATATTTTAATGGATCTTAATACACCTTAATTACCCACCATTTATATCTACATGTTCTTCATATTGTTTTATATATTTCATTAATCACCTGTCTCCAGTATTCTTTGTTTTAAACTTTAAATTGAGCTTATAAATTATAATTAACGTCTACGGGCTATAGCGTTTAATTACCAGGGTATATTGTTTGTAGATTTATAGGATTAATGCCCTAGGCGATGCATGGGAATATATAGACCCAAAATGACAGAATTTGGACAGAGCTTGCTACACACGTGTCTTGGGAGATCAACTTAGATCACATACCTAAGGACAGACCTTATTTACATGTATTGGGATATTTGGAGACATGAGTTTATGTCAATTCCAATATCCACATTGGAGCTTATTTACTATTAAGCATTGGACCAATAATTGTTATATTAATTGTCTGTTGTGATATTTGTTGATTACTGTTTACCAAAGAATATAGAGAACTATTAACCACCATGAACAGTCTTGTCTTCATTTAATCAGCAACGAAGATTCCAGAAAATACATGAATTGCAATTGTACAATACCCCACCAATAAGTTATATGAGTATGTAATATCAAACTAGCAATATAGATTGTCCTATCAGAAACAAGTTTTTGAAACTAATTCCCCGATGTTTTTACTTATAAGTACACCTATTGAAATCTATAACCTTTCATATAATTTTACATCAGGTCTCAAGTATCGTTTTTATTGGCTTTCACAAAAAGCTTTAAACATTGTTAAAAGAAATAACAGCTTAATAATTAAATTAAAAATAAGTTTTTTAAGCTAATTATGTGATCTTTTTACATATAAGTACAACTGTTGAAATCAGATAATTTTACATTTAGTCTAAAATCAATTAAAAAGAAGATTATAATTTACAGGTAAACTTTTTTTGGGCGCTGAGATATGTTTACGACAATCTGATTCAGACACGGAACAAGCTTTATTTTGTAGGATTTGATGTTTGATGACAACCCCCCCCCCCCCAATGTTTCTGAGTAGGTCTCCATAGTAAGGCCACAGTTCACTAATTATTTCCCCATTGACATTAATGTTAATTCTCGTCTCTTAGATCGGCTCTAACGTTTTCTCAAATTTTTGTTGGCAACATGTGGCAAACTCTTGCCCAAAAGCATGTGTGAGGTTCTTCATGAAAAACTTGAGATACACAAGCTGGACGTAGAGACAATTAAAGATGCAATTTTCGACCCTACATTTCAACCTAACCAACCGCTCAACTCATGTATCCTTCCGCCTCAAAATCATGAATATTCACCAAAACCTGGCGGAAAATGTATTTTCAAACCTTTTTTTTCGATTCTACACTACAAAATCAACAAAAATCGCCATGCAAAAGGGGGAAAAAGGGAAAGCGAGAGAAAAACTAAATGGGGTTTAAAGTCCACTCGACACAAACTAGGTCATTTCGGGACTAACATATGGTTTAATTTTGTTTCAACAATTCGCTTGCGCGTAGGGGTCTTTTAGCAATGGGAGGAACCGGAGGACCCGGAGAAAACCCACGAAGTTGGACAGGCGACCCTACTCCTTGTCACGTAGATCCGGGGATTCGAAACCACGCCAGTTGACTCAATGACAGGCTTTATGATACAGCGCACGCACGTGCTAATCATTCGGCCATCCAACCCCTCTGTCCGGTTGGGACGCAATTATTTAAAAAGGTAGCCATGTTCCAACTTATATTTTGTTTTCAACTTATTTAAAATGTTATCGACATATCAACTGTGATTTGGCACTGTATATTAGTATTGAAACGGGGTCATGACTATATTTCAGATTTTTTTTCCATCTCTTCATGAAGATATTTCCAAGAAAGCGACCTTGTAGAAGTATTTGGTGTCAATATATATGTTTTCCGGTCGCAAAATCCGTGTCAATGATGCGGGAGATGAATTAAGAAAAACAGGTAGGTTCCAGTGGGGCGCAAATCCACATCACAGTAGATTGTAAAATATAGATTCGATCTGATGTATTCCTTGCGACTAACACACGTTAGATAAAAATGGAATATTGAACTCTTTTTTTTTTCTTCTATTAGAACATAAGTTTTAAACATCAATCAAGGCAAGAATATCCGCTAGTCTGTTTTTAATATAAACACAGTCACTAATAAAAGGCTAAATGAGAACCCTTTGGGTAAAGCTAGAAGTCGATCAAGTTACGAATCCCAGTCAATCGTATCAATTCAGAAGCTTTCACCAAAATGTGAGAGCAACCTCAAACGTTATTATATCCGAATAAATATGAGTGATCTCACATTTCCATGACAAAATGGCAGCACTATAAACATGTTTACTTGCAGAGTTCAAACCAAAGTCAAAATCACCAAAAAGAAGCTTGTCAAAGAGAGAGAGAGAAATGGGGTTAAACGTCCACTCGACACACACTAGGTCATTTCGGGACTAACATATGGTGTAATTTTATTTCAATAATTCGCTTGCGCGTAGGGGTCTTTAGCAGTGGGAGGAGACCGGAGGACCTGGAGAAAACCCACGAGGTTGGACAGGCGACCCTGCTCCTTGCCACGTCCAACTGCTGAATCGAAACCACGCCAGTTGACTCAATGACAGACTTTATGAAACAGCGCGCACAAGCTAACCACTCAGCCATCCAACCCCGCGAGGCTCGTGTTCTCTTATCTAATGAGATTCAATTACTTTATTGAATTGTCAGGTATCCTCTTACAGTCCCATATAACAACTTTTGGTCTTGGAAGGAATTATTAGTGAGCAGAAATTCGGCCGTGTATCTGTTATCACTCGTCACATCAGTCAGTTATATAGAGGTATGACTCGTGTTTTCCTTTGGCGTTCGTCACTTCCGATTCAGGAAACCTGTATTACTCAGCTATCGTAGCAATGATCTCTGTGGTAAAAATATATTTGGAATGTGTTTAACCAGCTCTATCACATATATGGTAATGACTGGCACCAATATTGTCCTTTAAATAACAAGTCTTCCAGATCCTAGTGCAATCTGTTTCACAGAGATCTCCTAATATCTCTGTAACAGATGACTGTTTCGACACGTGACGTCACATCACGCGTCGTCAATCATTGGCTCAATAGCGCGTGCATTGTTTGCATAAGACGTTACTGATTCGGGCTAAATGATGAATTTTACTTATTTTAATACTCATTT